TGCTACGGCGGAGCATATTCAACTTTTCCACTCTGGAGGATGGTTTCAGATTTTTGCGTTTTTAAGCCCCAAAAACGCCGTCACCGTCTAAACGAAAGGGACTTCCGATAAAATATTTTGTTGTTTTTACCCGTTTTTAAGTGTTCTCGTGTAAACAGACCCTCAAACCTCGGGGAATGAAGGCATCTGATTGGTCCGTTATTTTTGTTCATATCTTGATTTAGGGACAAAATAGCGAAATGAAAAATTCAGGATCATGTAGAGCAGGTTAATACGGAGATTTTAAGACCAACATGGCAAGGTTCACAGCAGCAGTTACAGCGAGACGGACGACAAGATCCTAATGTAATCAGTGTTGGGAAGGTGACTTTTAAAATGTATTCCCCAACAGATTACAGATTACACACACCAAAATGTAGTTTGGAACGGAATCCATTAAATTACTTAAAGTGAGTAATGTAATCTGAATACTTTGGATTACTTGATTTGCTGTAGAGAAACAAGAAGATGAAGATGTTTTATCTGCTAAAAGAAAATAAAAAGCCCAGACTGTATTAAAAATATTATTGATAGAAGAGGAGGAGACATGTCCATGCAGCATGATTTAGTCCTGTTAAATCCTGTTTTAGTCCTGTTTTAGTCCTGGTTTAGACCTGGTTTAGTCCAGGTTTAGTCCAGGTTTAGTCCTGGTTTTAGTCCTGGTTTTAGACCTGTTTTAGTCCTGGCTTAGTTGGGGTTTAGTCCTGATTTAGTCCTAGTTTAGTCCTGGTTTAGTCTGAGTTTAGACCTGGTTCAGTCCTGGTTTAGATCTAGTTTAGACCAGATTTTAGTCCTGGTTTAGTTCTGGTTTTAGACCTGGTTTAGATCTAGTTTAGAGCTGGTTTAGACCTAGTTTTAGTCCTGATTTAGTCCTGGTTTAGTCCTGGTTCAGTCCTGGTTTAGTCCTGGTTTAGTACTGGTTTACTCCAGGTTTAGTCCTGGTTCAGTCCTGGTTTAGATCTAGTTTAGACCTGGATTTAGTCCGGGTTTAGTCCTGGTTTTAGTCCTGGTTTTAGACCTGGTTCAGTCCTGGTTTAGATCTAGTTTAGACCAGATTTTAGTCCTGGTTTAGTTCTGGTTTTAGACCTGGTTTAGATCTAGTTTAGAGCTGGTTTAGACCTAGTTTTAGTCCTGATTTAGTCCTGGTTTAGTACTGGTTTACTCCGGGTTTAGTCCTGGTTCAGTCCTGGTTTAGTCCGGGTTTAGTACTGGTTTACTCCAGGTTTAGTCCTGGTTCAGTCCTGGTTTAGATCTAGTTTAGACCTGGATTTAGTCCGGGTTTAGGCCTGGTTTTAGTCCTGGTTTTAGACCTGTTTCAGTCCTGGTTTAGATCTAGTTTAGACCTGATTTTAGTCCTGGTTTAGTCCTGGTTTAGTCCTGGTTTAGCCCTTGGAGGGGGGATACAGCCCAAAATATGAAAACAGGAAAATACCGCCGTGTAATCCATTTATTTCAACAAAGTAACTGTAATCCAATTACCACTCACTGAAAGAGAAACTGTAACCGAATACAGTTACTCATAATTTGTACTCTGATTACATAACTCCGGTACATGTAATCTGTTACTCCCCAACACTGAATGTAAGTCACTTGGAGCCAGAGGCAGAAGGAGCCAGAAGAGCCTCCTGGAGAACTTCCTATTTGGAATTTCGCTATGTCCATTCATATACACAGTCTGTGGTGACGGCCGAGTTACAAATGTGCGGAGAAGTGAGATTTTTTTGGTTATTTTTACGACGCAGAACACCAAGAAACCCAAATACGAAGTCTTAACTAGTTTACAACCGTTACGTAATTGGCACACGCACCCCCCACCAAGAACACGCTTTTTTTTTTTTTTTGGCCTTTGAAAAAGAAAACAATAAAGGAATAGTCCATACTGGTGTCTCTTTTCATCCTCCTGCACTGAACTGCGTGGCTCCAGATCAGACCGAGGCTGTGGAAGGAAATGAGAGACCGGCTCTGTAATTGGATGTGCAGATACGAAGCCTGGACTGTCCATAATAACTCCCTATACACTCAGACCGGGTTGAGACTTGGTATTGATAAACTCCGCGCTGCATCGGTGTCATTCGCGCGAGGCAAGGTCAAAGGAAGGCCATTAGTTCACGGGGAGGCGGTGAAGAAGAACCAATTTGGTGTGGTGCCATTACTGCACTTAGGGCTTCAGCGATAAGAGCGGCAGATAGAGGAGCGGGAGAGCGCGATCTTTCCTCTCATTATAATGTAGTGCATGGTTGCCGCGGCGTCTGCTGATACTGCGCCGAGCTCACTACGAGGGAACTTTTTAGGATGAATAATTTAAGAAGCGTACAACTCTGCTTCCAAATGCGCGCTTTGAAAATCTCAAGCAAAACCTTCACGTACAGTAAGAAGTCAAGAAGGCAAGACAAAAGTTAAAGGTCCATTATTGAACAGAAGTGAGTCTTGTGAGCTTTAAATCATGTTATAATGCGGTTAACTTCTCAAAAACAGACCTGGAGTTGTGTTTTGTTTCATTCACATGTGTTTAAATAAGCCTGGTCTACATCTCCAAAGCTCAAAATGCTCTAAACCACCTTGTGATGTCATGTAGTTTTCAAGTTAACCGCTACCTTTTGGCCAGGCAAGGCAAGTTTATTTGTAAAGCGCAATAGACGCATCAAGAATCTCGGACTTCCGGTCATTGTGCAGTGCATACTGGGAAGGATTTTCCGAAAAAGTGAGCATCAAACCGCCATGTTTGTTTTCCCAGTGCGATGCATCTATTGACAAAGTCGATATTTTCTAGTCTTTTCAACCATATCACTTTTGTTTCTGGTTCTGATATTGTCATATTTTAGTTTTGGGATTCAGACATTGTAATTGTCTGGATGTTGGATCCTAACAGCGGAAAACGGCTCGAGAAATTTGTTTGCGAAGTTCATAAATGCAAAAGTGAATCAGATGTGTGTGACTGCAAACCTCTGTTCAAACTGTTTCCTCTTCATAAAAGAATTGAAAAATAGTGAAAGGTGAAGGCGATGGGCAGGATTGATCCACAGGAAGGACGAAAAAGGAAACCTTTAACTGTCTAAATCATCCTGAGTTTGCAGCGAACATTTTGCATGTGGAGCACCATCAAAGCAAAACCCCGACCCCTCACTCAACCTCGGTTACGAATTTTAAAAGTCAACGCCAAAGCAAAAGGCACCAGCTGTTCGCCAAGAAACACCTTCCACTGCAAAGAGACCAAGACGTGATGTTGCTGTAAAACCACAAGAACAAGAAAGTGCGAGCTCAGCCTGTTTGTCTTCTGCACCTCTCGCTTAACAAACGGGATCCCACTTTGTTGTCACTCCACATACAAAATGTTCGCTGCAAACTCGGAATGATTTAGACAGTCAGAGGTTTCCTTTTTCGTCCTTCCCGTGGATCAATCCTGCCCATCGCCTTCGCCTTTCACTAGTTTTCAATTCCGTTGGGAAGAGAAACAGTTTGAACAGAGGTTTGCAGTCACACACATCTGATTCCCTTTTGCATTAATGGAGTTCGCAAACACATTTCTCGAGCCGTTTTCCGCTGTTAGGATCCAACAACCACACAATTACAATGTCCGAATCCCAAAACTAAAATATGACAATATCAGAACCAGAAACAAAAGTGATATGGTTCAAAAGACTAGAAAATATCGACTTTGAAAATAGACACATCCCACTGGGAAAACAAACATGGTGATTTGATGCTTTTTTCAGAAAATCCTTCTCAGTATGGATTGCGCCATGACCGGAAGTCCGAGATACTTGATGCGTCTATTCGTACAGAAAGTAATTCATAGTGCTTTACAGAATAAGAAATGCATTAAAATCACAATAAAAACAAATCAGAACTTAAAATTAAAAAGAGAGAGAGACATTAATTACATAAATAAGAGTGTGGAATGAAAACCTTTCAGTCATATGCAGCTGAACAGAATCGTTTTGAGTCTGGATTTAAACAGAGTCACATTCACAGTGCGAGAGGGTTCATATGGCACTAACATGTCACAGATGGACTTTGGTGCTCGGCCGTGGAGAGACCTGTGCACAAGTAGAGCCACTTTAAAGTCTCTGAGCCACAGGAAGTCAGTGCAGAAACCTGAGTACAGCCATTTTTGCCATTTGTTCAGCAGAGATTGGCATTTCCAGGGCTGAAATCATCCAAGTGATTCTAGTGAAGGTGTATGGAGTTTAAAAACACAGTGGAGCCCTTTCTGTATCGCCACATGACATCACAATGTGGGACAGAGTGTTTTCTAAGCCTAAATCTGCAGGGTTTGTGTGTTAAACATGTGTGAATGAAACGAAACACAAGTCCAGGTCTGTTTGTGACGAGGAAACATTGACATAAATCAGAAAATGCAGTGAAATGGGACTTTTAAGCTAAACTTTCATGTTAGTAAAGAGGTTTTTTTTTTTTTGCAGTCAAAGAGATGTCAGTGTGTGGTAATTGCTCTCAAAATCATTATGTTTGCAGTTCGTCCCGTGAGGAAAAGAAGCAGCAGCACCTTGGACAGCGCCTCTCCACAGACCTGCTCCCTGGAGAGCTCTCATGTGTAACATCATCACACTGGACTGATGCCTAAAACTACAGAAGCCAAATACAAGACTTCTGTTCTAAATCCAGTCTGTCTTTAGTTTAATAATGTAAAGAACATTTCATTCAGAATAGGACATCACATATTTGTTGAAAACACATCACTGAAATAAGTTCTCTTGTGTATGAAACACGTGATTTACTCATATTCTTCGCATTTGTAAAGAAATTGTCCTGTAAGTTTAGGTTGAGCACATTATGACACAGTGTTGTGTCACTGTAATCTCGTCAGTGAGGGTTGTTGACCGTGATCTCTGCATCTGCACCTTCAGTTTGGTGCATGAGTCCAGAGAGCAGGAAACTTCTCCTCTCCAGAATCACACTCCGCATCTTCAACAGTTACATCTTAAAGCCGAGGTGTCACTTACCTCACCGCTCTCAGACTCCGCCATTTTTCTCCTGAGGAGCATGCAGCGGGACGAGTGCTTAATTCCCATAAGAGCGAGCAAAATGTGCCCAAAAGTTCAAATGTGAAAATCCTGCACAGCGCGTGGCCTTTGGATACGAATCATTTCCAAACTGCAATGTCAAAGAACAAACCCGGCGCAGGTCCTCGGAGGAGACACGTCCAGACTCGTGGATTTCATGGTGCAAAAGTTTGCCTTCCGCCGGTGCGCTTCCCCCGCGAGCGTAAAGACACACATCATGTGGCATCAGAGGAGATAAAAGAGTGCGCGTGCGTCCGTGCGTCCGTGCGTCCCATGCGCACAGACACCTGCAGCTGCAGCGGGTCTGCGGAGCCGCGGCTCGTACGCGGCGGAAGAGCCGCACACACTTTTTATCCGCGGTGATTGATTCTTCACTGCAACGTTGTTTCTAAAAATAGCACGAGCCGCCTGACACGCACACGCGCGCTCCAGCCTCGCGAGGGCTTTCTTTAGACATGAATATTGAAGCAGCACGTGCCATCCGGTGTGTGGACGCGGGTCTGCGGCGGTGTCGCATCTGTCCGGCTGCGCGCGGAGCTCAAGACGGACGGGCACAAAGTTGGTGAAGAGGAGAGACGTGTGGCTCTGACCACGCGCCTCTCAGCTGACCACTGTGTCTCACTGACCACACACACGTGACGATAAAACACGAGTCGATTCAGAGCAGGGTCACGCGAGGACAGAGCACAGAACGCGCGCACAACAGGCTGTTTCACTGCAGCACCATCAGTTAGAATAAAGACACATCTCCCCGCGAGAGTCTGCCTTTAAAACAAACCTCTGGACCTCTGGACCTCTGGACCTGCGCCACATGCCCGGACCTGGACATCAGGAGCAGGATCATGATTGTGTCCTTCAGGAGAATGTTTAGAGCAGAGCTGGAGCCTGCACCATCAGGGAAACATGACACATCTGAAGCACTGCTGCTGTAGTGAACTTCTCTATCAGAAAACTAAAGGCTCGTTACAAATGAGCTCAAGTCTTTAAAAGAATCCTGAACTTTGAGAGTCTCTCCTGCTCTAATGATCCCACAGGTTTACAGATTCATTAAACATTCATGATTGAGCTGAGCAGATGTGATCCTCCAACAGCTGTGAGGGTTTGTGCAGTGAAATGTTGTTTTGAGACTTTCTGCAGTAACACAAGATTTAGATATTTTGCTTCTTCAGAGGAATTACAGCCGACAGGGATCAGATCTTTCTTTCCTCAGGACCACATTTCACTGTCACTCTGCTCTTCTGTCATGACTCCTGTGAGTGAGCACAACTCTCGCCTCTTTTTTACCTGCTCTATTTTAAGTGCAGGCCGTTCCTCTTTGCCACACACCCACACTCTCTCACTCTCACTCACTTACTCTGTTTTACATTATTCAGCAGAGTAGGAACCAGCAGCCATCAACACGTGGCTCCTCCTCTGGTCTCATCCACAGATTATAAACCAAATCCCCACTCTCACTGTGTCATGTTATTATAAAGTCAGTGACTGGACAGGTGCACAGAGAAGCACAAGTGCAGCAGTGTAGAAGAACACTGTAGTGTGCAGTTTTGTCAAATATTATTTTACACAGACAGTGTTGGGAAGGTGACTTTTAAAATGTATTCCCCTACAGATTACAGATTACATACACCAAAATGTAGTTTGTAACGTAATCCACTAAATTACTTAAAGTGAGTAACGTAATCTGAATACTTTGGATTACTTGATATTGTCATGTTTTTTTAAAACTACATGAATGTACCAACCACATCCTGAAAATTCATGTTTGTTCTCTTCAAATTGTCTGTTGAGTCCAAGTCTCCGTGAACAGACTTTTGTTTTACTGTAGAGAAGAAAAGACCAGGATCTTAACATCAGATGTTTTATCTGCTAAAATAAAAAAAAAAAAAAATACTTAATCAGATTAAAAATAATATTGATAGAGAAATGATTTTTATATGAGATCACTGCTGCCTGGTTTATTCCTGCTTTAGTCCTGGTTTAGTCCTGGTTTTAGTCCTGGTTTAGTCCTGGTTTTAGTCCTGGTTTTAGTCCTGGTTTAGTCCTGGTTTAGTCCTGGTTTAGTCCTGGTTTAGTCCTGGTTTAGTCCTGGTTTAGTCCTGGTTTAGTCCTGGTTTAGTCCTGGTTTTAGTCCTGGTTTTAGTCCTGGTTTAGTCCTTGTTTAGTCCTGGTTTTAGTTCTGGTTTAGACCAGGTTTAGTCCTGGTTTAGTCCTGGTTTTAGTCCTGGTTTTAGTCCTGGTTTAGTCCAAATGTGAAAGCAGTAAAATACCTCCGTGTAATCCATTTATTTCAACAAAGTAACTGTAATCCAATTACCACTCACTGAAACAGTAACTGTAACTGAATACAGTTACTCCTAATTTGTACTCTGATTACATAACTCCAGTACATGTAATCTGTTACTCTCCAACACAGACAGGCACAAGATTAAATTTGGTGAGCGGTTGCTGTATTAACCAAGAAAGATTTTGATTTGGAATTTATTCAGTTTGTTTTTATTTCTCAGAAGTAAAAACATGCATTTTTACTGTGAGTTGACTTGCCTCTCCACAGGTCTGACTTGTACGTTGGTCTGGTGATGTGTGATTTATTTGAGACAAGTTTTTATAGAAACCTCCACCAAAAAAGTAAAAATGTTCTAAAAGTGCCATATGCAATAGCCAGAAAAATGTACCATAAACAAAAGTGTGTCTCTGCAGTGAGGAGGAGCTGCTCGGGGATAAACAACGTACGTTTATAACTCCAAATAAATCAATCTGACAGAGTTATGGAGCAGATCTGTGGAATCAGGGGAGCAGATGTCCCACCACTGACACATACTCCCAGAATCCTCTGTAACTAAACATCTATCAATCAAATAATCTTAAAAAAATAAATAATAATAATAATGTATGAGTGTAACTACATGTATAGTATATATGTTATACATCACATACAGTGTCGGGGAGTAACAGATTACATGTACCGGAGTTATGTAATCCGAGTACAAATTATGAGTAACTATTCGGTTACAGTTACCGTTTCAGTGAGTGGTAATTGGATTACAGTTACTTTGTTGAAATAAATGGATTACACGGCGGTACTTTCCTGTAAACCAGGACTAAACCAGGATTAAAACAAGGTGTAAACCAGGACTAAACCAGGTCTAAAAGTAGGACTAAACAGGACTAAACCAGGTCTAAACCAGGACTAAAACCAGGACTAAAACCAGGACTAAAACCAGGACTAAACCAGGACTAAACAGGACTAAAACCAGGTCTAAACCAGGACTAAACCAGGACTAAAACCAGGACTAAAACCAGGACTAAACCAGGACTAAACCAGGTCTAAAAGCAGGACTAAACAGGACTAAACCAGGTCTAAACCAGGTCTAAACCAGGACTAAAACCAGGACTAAAACCAGGACTAAACCAGGTCTAAAAGCAGGACTAAACAGGACTAAACCAGGTCTAAACCAGGTCTAAACCAGGACTAAACCAGGACTAAACCAGGACTAAAACCAGGACTAAACCAGGACTAAACCAGGACTAAACCAGGATTAAAACAGGATTAAACCAGGACTAAAACCAACTAAACCAGGACTAAACCAGGTCTAAAAGCAGGACTAAACCAGGTCTAAAACCAGTCTAAACCAGGACTAAACAGGACTAAACCAGGTCTAAACCAGGTTTAAACCAGGACTAAACCAGGACTAAAACCAGGACTAAAACCAGGATTAAAACCAGGATTAAAACCAGGACTAAACTAGGACTAAACCAGAACTAAAACCAGGGCCAATTTGAAGAGAACAAACAAGAATTTTCAGGATGTGGTTGGTACATTCATGTAGTTTTAAAAAACATGACAATATCAAGTAATCCAAAGTATTTAGATTACGTTACTCACTTTAAGTAATTTAATGAATTACGTTACAAACTACATTTTGAGGTATGTAATCTGTAATCTGTAGGGGAATACATTTTAAAAGTCACCTTCCCAACACTGATCACATATGTATAATGTAGTTATATAGCACTGATATTAACTTGTATTTAGTTCTATAGTAAGTAAGTTTTTTATTTATATAGTGCTTTTCACAGACATTTGTCCCAAAGACGCTTTACAGAGCATTAATCATTCACTCCAGACCCGGTGGTGGTAAACTACTATTGTAGCCACAGCCGCCCTGGGGCAGACCAATCGGTGCCATCCGTCCCTCAGACAACCAACACTCACACATTCCACTTTCATACTAGGCAATGTGGATGACAGTTTTTGCCACTGGTGCCCCCTGTGACACCTGATTTTCCCTGTGTCTCCCATCCAAGTACAAACCAGGCCCATCCCTGCTGAGCTTCTGAGATATGATGAGATGAATGGCCACATAAAGCACTGTTATTTAGTTATATTTAAGTAAGTAAGTAAGTCTTTATTTATATGCGCTTTCACAGACATTTTCTGTCCCCCAAAGACGCTTTACACAACATTATTCAACATTATTCATTCAGCATCATTCATTCACTCTATACCCTGGTGATGGTAAACTACTATTGTAGCCACAGCTGCCCTGGGGCACACTGACAGAGGCGCGGCTGCCATGCCACTCGGCGCCATCGGTCCCTCCGACCACCACCATCACTCACACACACACACCGCTTTCATACTAGGCAATGTGGGTGAAGTGTCTTGCCTAAGGACACAGTGATTGAGTTGATTGTATTTAACTGACCTTGACTATCAACTGTTCTTGGAGACCTGGAGCATGTTTTGGGTTGATGGGGGAAACCGGAGCACCCGGAGGAAACCCATCCAGACACGGGGAGAAACATGCAAACTCCACACAGAAAGGCCCAGGCGACCCGGGGATCGAACCCAGAACCTTCTTGCTGTGAGTGAGTGCTAGCCACTCAGCCACCGTGCCGCCATATTTAGTTCTATAGCTCTGTTATAAATATATAGACACTATACAGTTTTATACATTCACAAAAGTCAGAGTCAAGTGAGAAACACTAATAGTATTGCCCTATATATG